GAATGATTTAGGTTAACTGAGCATGTATGTGGATGGATAAATTTTGAAATTTTCCAACTACCTCCAGTCAGTGCATTCGCAGAAAGCAAGAATGGGCAATTTTTATGCTTTCACACAACCTTTAACCGAGAATTTGAAGATCTCGGTGTTCGGAACTCCACTTTATGCTTCAAATGGTATAAACCTACTTTTACCAACAATTCTTCCTTACTTTCAATGACAACGCCTCTGGCTAATTCACGATCTATCATTGACGGCTCTTCAGACTAAGGATGAACATCAACGTTGTGAAAATTGGCTTCGGGAATCCTCCAACCGCTACTCGAACGAGTAGCGATTTCATTCAAATCATCCTCTTCAATAGCAACCCCTCCAGAAAGGTCAAGCCGAGGAACATTGTGGATCGCTATACTCTTCTTGTTGCGTAAAATATGCTCATTTAAACCACCCATCATGTTTGAGGGGGACACAACATTGTCGTCGATATCTTCATCTTCTTCAATTATGAAGTCCGGATCATCAATGTTATCATCCATCTCATTTAGGAGATCATCATTGCAAGGATTATCGTTCATGTTCGTCTCATTATTGTAAGGATCACAAAATTGCTCGTTATCATCACCTTCATCATCAACTTCATCATCACCTTCATCATCAACTTCATCATCACCTCCATCATCAACTTCATCATCAACTTCATCATCATGACCTTCACCATCACCTTCATCATTTCAGTTGAATACCCATTGAACCCGCTATCCACACCCCAATCGACATGTTCGGGAGAATGTCGTGAGGCACCGGGTTGATTTGATTCTACCCTTTTAGAGGTGTCAGGCACCATGTTGTCATTGTTCGCCGGATTACATGTTGATGGTTAACTCATTATAGGTGGATACACAGCACCATATGGATAGAGAGGTGGGCCTGAGCAGCAAATAAATTCATAAACCCACCTGGATAGCCATACGAAGGGTACATTGGTACACTCGCCTGAGTATACGGACTTGGAGTATGTTTCGGCTGTAATGTGACATAGGTGGTAGGTATTGTGAACATGGCAGACACATTTCGCATATCTGATTCACAAGAGATACGCCATTTCTCCACCTCTCCGTTATCACCGGCCACTAAAAAAGTGAAATCGATAGTCGCACATGTTTCTAACTCCACGAACAATGTCATGAACCCTATTCATGAAAGCTTCGTATGATGACGTCCTAAGACATAAAAAATTCATTTCCGTTTCTCCATTTTTGTACACATTCCCATCCCAAAAACCACTTTGAACAATTCGCACTTTACCAACGTCCATCTGAAAAAATTGAATAAATAAAAAAAAATCTTAATAAAAAAATTCATAAACAGTTTCTTACGAGCAAAGTTAATTGAGCAAAAAATATGTTACATCTTGTTCAAGAAACCGTTTGATGCTCAAGAAACCTGCTTGATGCTCAAGAAACAGGTTTCTTGAACAAGAAAC